AGAGAGCAGATTTTGGCTCCTCCAAATTACTGAAGGCTATGAATAAGTGCAAAGAACTTTTTAAAAAAGTGACCATCCAAGCTGGCTTGTCTTGGTTTGCAGCACTGCATAAAGAAAGCTGGACCTAAAATACATCAAAAGGGATGTAACATTTTTCAAGTATTAAATAAAGTCTAAATGATTCTAATGAAAACAAGGATGAAATTTCTTAGTTCTAATTTGACATTATTATATATTTAATTGCTCTTAAAAAAACTGCCCCAAGGTATAAAAAACAAGCTCTCCACGCATGAGAATCCACATGGCTGCATTTCATTTGTAACTCCTTAGAGCTTATCATCAACATCCAAGGCAGCAATCTCCACATTTGGTGCCTCTTTCCACAATCCATTGGAAATCAGGAAAGTGCAAGAGACTGGCTGACTTCATAAACAAGATGCTTATAAACCTACCTTTCAAATACTTCAAAACATTTACATCTTCAATAACAAAAACAAAAGATACATCAAGAGTCCAAAAATTGAATGAAAATAAATTTCAAGCTTTCATAACAACTTAATAGAAGCAGAATTGCTGAAAATCTGTAAGTCAGTAATACATACACAAAAGTACTCATATCATTAAAAAAATAAGTGTGGTTGTAGATCCTTACTAAATGAATAAAAAAAATTTCAGTACCGTTTTCTAAAGATACCATACTACAGGCTTTTCTGATCACGTTCATGCAGACAAGCCTCAGTCAGTAAGTAAACTAATCTAAATCAAATTTCATCCAGTCGAAAATAATCATCATGTGCTGCCCCAAGTCGGTGAGTATAAATGGGTTGCTGAAAATATTCCTGGTAATTGCAGGCTGCTATTTATGTTGGCCAGAGTTGGAGGAGTTTACTTGGTGAAATGTCTAAGCGCACAGACCACAGGAAAACAACTCTTGACGCCCACACTACAGACAGCCTAGACCCTCTCTGCAGCGTCACACTGTGGCTGTCATTTCATAGTGGCACAGGCACTGTGGCAACAGAATGGAAATATATGATTGCAGTCATTTCATTTTCAAGTAATGTGCTACCACAAGAGATTTTCCTGGTTCAGTGGAGTTTAAGTTAAATATCAAAGACTAAATATCATTTTCCGAAGCCCAACATTATTCTGCTTGTAAACAGGTATGCACAAAATACTATGATGATAATCACTGAAAGATATTTTTTAATTATAGGGGGTTTGTTTGCCTTAGAGTCACCAATTCCCAAATATGTCTGTTAACTCACGAGGCACAGGGTTGAGGGGGGAAATAAAGGCAGTCAGCTCTAAGATAAACTTGCCGCAAAACCCCAGGATGGTGAAGCTAGCTCTCATTAGCTTTCACTCCTCCCTGGGTTACATACCATAATGTTTTTTTTTTTATCATCAACATCATCAGAACTTAATTAGGAATCAGGAAACTTGGGTTCTGGAACGTTCCAGACCTATAGCTTACAATCTAAAGTTGCATCATCATAGGAAAGGCCTGTAATTTCTCTGAGCTCCAATTTGCTTATCTGTAAAATGAGGGGGTCTAGTAATAAATGCATTTAAAAGAGAATAGAAAAATGCAAGGCAAAAATGACTACCCAAACATATTAAGATTGATCCTAACTCACAAAGACAAACACAGAGAATACCACAGGATGAAAAAAAAGGAATGTTTTTCACCTGAGGGGAAACAGGAAAATGAAAAACATTTTAAAATTAAATGGTAATGAGAATGTAGAAAAGAACCAACACACTTGAAGTCCTTTGTAGCAGAATCCTATAGAAACACCAAAAAAAAAAAAAAGAGAAGAAAAGAAAATACAATCATAGTCTACATTCCCTTTGGCTTAGTAATTCTACTTTGAAGCATAAATCCCCAAAGAAAATATCCCTAAAGAAAAATCAAAGCTCTGTAAAAAAAATCTCCATAACAGCACTATATGTAAGTGAAAAATTGGAAACAACCTATAAGGACAAAAATAGAGGCCCAGTTAAGCAGAATTTGGTTTTGCTAACAAAATGGAACAAAGGCCTGTATAGCCATTTCTTTAAATACAGAGCTATTTTCAAAAGAGCAAAAATATTCAACATGACATAACATGAAATGTAATGTAAAGGCTGATCGCAAAATACATTTGCCCTCCTTATGATTTTATGAGAAATACTGATGTGTTTTCTTCCAGAATGAAAACCAGAAGAGAAACCAGAGGGATGGAAGTTTATCGGGTCTATTCTTTCGATAAAAGTCAACACAATCACAAAAAATAAAAGGGTGCTGGGGAGAAAGGGAAGCTCTCTACACTATCATCCACTTTTTACAACTCCTACTTCTTCTACCCAGTTTTTCTACCATGACTAATGCCACCTTGTATCTCCATCTAACACTCAGTGTTTTTCAAGCACCATCACAAAGATTATGTTGCTTATTATTTTAGAAACAACCAGCAGTTGTGCACCTATATACCTAAAGGTAAGCTTCTGTGTAAGGTCTAGTGCACCGGGGTGTATCCTACAAGAGCATACTGCACACTGTTGGACTACTGTCCTCCTCTACAAAAATGTCATCAATGGGAAATTAAAGGGAAGCAAGAATTAGGACTCATGATTTCAACAGGCTCTTGGTCTCTGAAGTCAACCTTAATACAATAAACTTCACATGAGGCAAATGCATTAGCAAAACTGCTGTGTATTTTCATGTACAATTCCCACTTTCCTTAAACACTGCAAGTCACAAAGCCATGGCACAAGTGATCATGGCCTGGCAATAGATGCCTGTCAGCTTTAGTACAGAATTCATGAACATAATAACGACAGGGTATTTGGGCTCAGTGTTTAGACACACCTTTATCTCATCATCCCACTAAAAAACCCAAGAAGACAGAAAAGTTAAAAACCTAGAATTCTTCTAAGTAACACTTCTCCAAAAGAAACATAACCAGTGGCAACACTCTTGTAAAAAGAACATTGATGTTTCACAAAAGCCTGTGTAAGTTTTCTTTTTTCTTCCAAAAAATTTCTTCTCTACTAATCAGTATTTTAAACTAGGTAATTTTAGCTTTAAGATACTGGTATCCTTTCACATATTCAACCAATGATAGAGAAAATATGTTATGATGTGTCGTGAGAAAAATAGTGGTTATTTTTTTAAAGGCTAAAAAAATAAAATGGTTAACAGTGGAGCACACCAAAACCATAGAAATTCTACCGGAGAGTATCATATAACATGCTTCTGCCAGTAATGGTTAAAGCACAGAGTCAAAAGTGCTTTCTCATTTACAATGCCAGCAGATTCTCAAATTTCTATACTAAAAAGATGTTGGCCAGCAACTATGTCCAATTTCTACTCTCACCAGCATCATCTAGTAATTAGAAAACAGGCTTTCACTTTCAAGACTATTCAAAATGCCAATGTATTTCATCTTAAATCAGAGGTTTCTAGTGATGGACATGTGTTTATTATAACCAAAATTCAACATGCTTTTAGGGGGAATAAACAAACAAACTAGGAATAGGCATTAGCCATGTAAAAATGAATCTCAAAAACAAAGAATCTCAAAAACAAAGTGCAAAAATGCCACAAATTCCACTGATATTTTTCTTAGCTGTCTGAATTATTGTGAGATGTATCAATATATTTCTTTCAGCCTTCAAAAAATATCTACAGGCTGAGCATAAGATCTAGGAAACCATATAACGTACAGATTTAAAGAAAATGACACACGCAGAAGAACTGCAGGACTCGATCAGGCTGCATGGAACCTATACACTTCCGATCGAATTAAACCTCTATCATGTCAAACATTACCCGCTAGATGACATAGCATCTCAGTGTTGAGTCAGACTGATTTAACATTTACTCATTGAAATACCATGTAATGAGGCGGAGGAAGATGTCTTTAAAAAGTCAAACTCAGAAAAATCACATAGGTGTGAGCAAAGCACAATTAGAAGAGAAATGAAAATAATGTGATGAGCTGCCCCTGAGAACCTTAGGTGCTAGGAGGCCATTTACATGTCCAAGTCCTCTGTGTGTGGTAGGTTTCAGTACTGTTGCAGGAACAGTCTGCAGAGACACTTCAATTAAGGCTGTGTGGTAGAACTCTGTGTAAATTAATTAGCTGAGGTTACAAGGATTTTCTAAAAGCAGCTCTCTAAAACAGCCTCGGAGATAGGCATGATTTGAGGAGAATTAGAATTTAATACAACTTACTAATCAATTCTTCTTGCTTTCACATTTGAACAATATTATGTGCAATGGTAAGTCCATGAGCATTCTACCAACCAAAATTTTATTTGCTTTCAATTAGAGGCAAAGGAAAGAGTTTTATGATTTTGCTTTTGATACTCATTTTATTTCAGATTTTATCTCGTCTTATTGGCAAGAGTTTTCATATGATAATTATAATGAAATCAATGCATATTTAAGTAGGAGATGAGCCTATATTTGAAATTCACATATGCTATAATGAAGTTCGCTATCTAGTAATTTCTATAAACAATGTCATAACAAAAATATGGTTTCGTGCTCCTGCCTCATGACTTTACTTGCTAAATCTGGTCATTATAATATAGCAACATATTAATGTTTAACCTGTTTCACATCTCAGTAACTTCTTTAATTCAAAATACTAAGTGGATTTTGGCTGTAACTTCAAACCATTAGAATCAGATGTTTGATAAATATCCTTCAAATAAGTAACACCTATGCAGAAAACTGTAAAAATGAGTTGTGCAATGGTTTCTACTGTAAATTAAAAATGGAAGAAATGTCAAGTTTTCAATAAATCAAGAAACTTCCAATTATGTACAGAAGTGATTCATGAACTCTTCTATAACCCTAAAATAAAGTTACTGCAGCCTCATTATACTGATTGTAAAAAAACTCATACTTACTATACAGGAGAGATGACATAGAGACCTTTTAACAGCTAATTTGTTTTAAAAGCATAGACATTGTATGTATACAAACACATCTTTGGAGACAGTACCGTTGAGCAGAGGCTGTCCTTCGTGCACATCCTGCGGTAAGATGGCACTGTAAGCATCTTCAGGGAACCCAGTCTTGCATAATGATGCAATTTCACCAGAAGCCTCCACAGACGCCTGCAACACAAGAAACAAAAATGTGTGCAATGATTGCTACCTCCTTCAGCTAAGAAACATTCCACTTGGCACAAAGCCTCATTTTTTTCAACTATCTTGTACAAACAACCCCTTTGTTTCTTAACGTTTACAGTTAGAATGTAGAGGGCAAAGGGTTAATCTTTTTGATAACTGGAGTAGAAAAAACAAATCCCACTTGTCTTGTCCAGTAAAGCCTAAATAATACACATTCTAGATTCTTCTAAGGACTGAATATTTCCATTAAAATGGTCACTGGGACTGAAGAATAGCAAGTGGACCTGGAGGTGGGGGCCAGCCAAATAGTTTTTAGCCTCGACAAATAGTCATCTTTATTTAACTTAACTTCTCAAGAAAAATGTATATTTTCAAGTATATAGATTTTTATATTCACATTTAATTCTCTATGAAGTTCATTTCAATATACCCTATTAATTAAAAAACAAAATTGTAATATACTTATTGCAGGATATAGCACATTTCATACCAAGTAAAACCAACCAATCAAAAGTAAGTTTTTCTCTAATTTGAAGGGCACAAATACATCAAAATATAAAAGATTAATACAATAATGTTTCCTTTTTATACTTAAAAATGAGGAAGTCATTATCTCTTGCCCTCATCATCCCAAGCAAGGTCACCTGTATAGTGTGCTCAAAACTCACCCACTTCCCCCGCCAAGTTAGTTTCTCTATTTTTCCCAAAACCTCCTGACATCATCACAGGACAGCCAGACCTCAGCAGAACTTGTGCAGCATTTAAATCTGTTACAGGAAATTTTACCCTGCCCTGCTGGGGGTCCAAATACAGGAGAAGGAAGGGTGGAGGAAGGCTGCAGAGGGAGGGATATCAGTAGCTGCAGGGCCAACCTTAGGAGCAGTCTGCACTGATAAGGACAATTGGAAATTGGAAGCAAGGTTAAAGGGCAGCCCAAGAAACAGACCTCAGAGCAAATTGTCTGAATAAAGCAACACAGGGCAGCTTCCCATTTAAAGGACCACCTGCATCATGCATGTGAAGTTTGGCAAATACTAAAGTTGCAAAAACCCAGACTGATCTATTATTTAAACCATTCCTTTCAGATCTGAGAACATAAAGAAAGAAGTAAATTTGAACTTTGTTAAATATAACACAGTATTTAATCTGGGAAAAAAAAGCATTAGGAGCAGCAGCAAGATATGAGCTCAGACCTGTCAAATTAGCAAAGCGTTTTAAGTTTATTATATGCAAGAAAGGATCATATCAAGTCAAGGATACAGCACAATCATTTTATACAGATGTTAACAGAAAGCTGATAAAGTCACATTGGGATGCAGTTTGGAAAATTCTAGTAAAAATGAAGGTGCACATATCCTAGCTTACATGGTAGGTACAGTCCTAGAGAAACTCTCCCATGGGAGCCTCAGCTGACATGTGCAGGGGTGTTCATGGCAGCACGGCTGTAACAGCAGGACCTGGAGATGACCTCAACACCCATCCCAGGACAATGGACTAGGAAGTTTTCACATAGTCAGAGAAGGGAACACTCAACAGCATTAAAAGGGAAAAACTACATCTACATTTATCCACAGGGTCACATCTCAAAACAAAAAGTCTGTTTTTTTAACTTCCATGTAAGACTGAAAGAGAAAATTTAATTATAACTCAACCTGGGGATGACTGTTATTTTTTTTTTTTGTAAATTCAGAAATCTATGCAGCATTCCAAATTTAGATTAGAGACCAAGCACATTGCAGGATGCATCTTGCAAAAAAATAAAGGAAAGAAAGCATGATTGGTAACCCCATTTTTAGAATATAAAGGTTAAAGACAGATGATAATGTAAAGTTATTGACATATGTAATTAGATGTATGTAATGTTATTAACATATATGTAATGAAAATGTACAAGGTATTAAAAAACATCAAATTTAGAACAGTGGCTATCCCAGGGGAGGGCGAGACAGGAAAGGCATTAGAAAGGATCATACAGGAAGCTTTGATTTTATTTGTAATAATTCATTTCTCTCCAAAAGAACTGAAAGCAAACAGAGTAAAAGGTGACGCTGTGCACAGGCACAGAGGAGCACATTTCATTATTCCCTGTATATCCTGTATTCTGCACATCCTTCCTGAAGAACAAGTAATAGAGGCTAAGAAGGTGGGCTTCCAACACCTGCCGAGTTTAGGACCCTAGGCAATATTGTGATACTTGCCAGTTATAAATATTCAGGCCCTTAGAGTGGAACTGGCGCAGAGCAGACACCAAGTGGAAGATTTGTTTTTTAGCTAAGCAAACAAGCGAGGGGCAGTTCTCAGTTCCCTGTATGCAGTGGGCCAACGTGTATATATCTGTCCCATTGACAGGTCGGCCTCTTACCTCCAGCCCAGGCTTCCATAGGGGAGGCTGGGCAGGTTCCCACCCAGGGAGGAAGGTGGAGCAGAGCTCTGCAGGGGCAGCAGGCCAGGGGTAAACAAAGGGGAGCAGGCAGCAAACAGGCCACATTCCAACCTGGGCATTTGGATTAGGGAAACGGGCAGTTTTACAGGCAAGCCCCAGAGATCAATAAAGTCTAAAGACCAGAAAAAAACTGCAATCGTGTCTTTATAACTCCAATACCAGCTTGTTCTCCAGGTCATCTGCACAAACACAGGGGAATCAATGAGCAGCAACAGGCTCCTCACCCAGATCTGGAGTGGGATTTCAAGGCCACCTCAAGGCCATCGGTAACACCGTGAAGGTTTCCTTTTGCGTTTCCATCTCCACCTTATTTCAGAGAAGGGAACCTCAGTCCTCAGCAGGCTGCCCTTTACTCAGCCATGGCTCATTCTCCTCATCTAGGTGGAGGCACCTGCCTGCACAGGGTGGCTGGGAGAATCCCTGAACCCATGTCCAGAAGGCACATCTCTAACAGATGCTGGCTGCCTGCAGGAACTGCCCATGGGAGTCATGTTTTCAAGACCCATGGGGTCATGTAGAACTTTATGATATTTTCAAATTTTTTTTTAAATAGCTGAACCTTTTCTAAATTGTTCTTCCCCAAGACAAAACAGATCCTCAAAATGACATGCTGGTGTTCTTCTGTAATCTGTTTTCTTAAAAACAGGCTCCATAAAATTATTAAAATACATGTTTCCCCCTATTAATTTTTTAACTTCCCCTCTTAAAAATTGGTCCCAAAATAACAAAGTTAATGTTCAAAAAACAAACAAGAAGCACTAAAATAAACAAAATCTCCAAATGGAAGACAATGCTGGCTTACTGGTGCCAAGCCCTGTGCTTGCACATCGGCTTCTCACTTACTGCTCACAGCAACCCTCCGAGGCTGGGGCTGGTACGAGGCCTGAGATTTCGGGAGACCCCAGAGCTGGCAACACCCTCCAACTAGAGCAGCTGACTGCACTCGCGCAGCCTCTGGTGGCAATAGCCTTGAGGGCACTGAAAATTCTCTAGACTAACCCATAGCTAGGGCTGGAGTGTGCTACCACCGTGGGGCCCCCAGGGGATGTCAGGTGATGTCTAGACACACTCTTGGTTATTGCAGTTGGGAGGTGGGCACCCATGGCTTCCAAAGGCTAAAGGCTAAGGATGCTGCCAACCGTCACACAATGCACAGGACAGCCCCAGCCCGAAACGTCACCAGGACCAAGGGTGGGAGACCCTGTCCTACAGCAACGCACCACAAAGGGGTGTCTACCTACCTTTGAACACCCTCAGCAGTGGGAAGCTATATCTTTAATCAGCCCACCATGCTCTTACTGGAACATCCTCCTTTTCAAAAAACCAAAATCCTGTGGCTGGGCTCACCTCCAATGTAACTGTTCACTCTGCCAAGCCCAGGATGAGGTCCCAGAAGCTCAAAGAGAGGAACGTCCCCTCAAAAAGGTCCCTGTCGTGTGGAGACTGTGTATTCATATTTCTAAAAACAGTATTCAGAAAACATGCAGTTTCTTAATATTTGAATAATGTAGAGGTCAGCAAACTTTCTTCTGTAAAGGCCAGAGAGTAAATATTTGAGGCTTGGCAGGCCCTGGGATATCTGCTGAAATCACTCCGCTCTGCTCTTACACAGCAAAAGCAGTCAGACAATGAGAAATGAATGAACATGGCTCTGTTCATTCAAATAAAACTTCTTTTCTGGACAACAAAATTTGAATTTCATTTAATTTTCAAGTGTCAAAAAATACTCTTCTATTTTTTTTTTTAAACATTTAAGCCTTCAGAAATGTGAGCAACATTGTTGGCCATACAAATCAGGCATCAGTACTGCAGTCTGCAGATCCCTGGGATAGTATGTGAAGTTTTGTAAGACACTGCGCTCTCTAACTTAACGCTCACAATAGCCCCTTGAGGGGGTGAAATGTCCCCAACTTTACAAGTAAGTAAATAGGTTCTCACTCAGAGGTGCAGGGAAATATTCAAGACCTCACATCCAGCAAGAGGAAGAGGCAAGATTCTAACCTTACAGTCTTTCCAAGTTGAACAATTACAAAGCAATTCTTTCAAGAAACAAGTATGGAGTGTCCACTAGCCATTGGAAACTGGGACAGATGGCCTCTGCCCTTATGAAGTTCAAGGTTTAATGTGAGAGCAAAATAAAGAAGTAATTGCAGTAGAACAGGGTGCCTGGGAGGCAGAGGTCTGCAGGAGCCGGGGGGCCTCCCAAGCAGAACCCGGGAGCAGCCCAGAGGCTGGGGTGGCAGGAAGCCATGCCGGGCGGTCACTGCTTGAGCTGGAACAAGGCAGCAAGAAACAGCACACTGCCTGAGGAATGACAATGAGTTAGTTCAGTGTCACCGGAGTCCATGAATCAAGGGAGGAAGTCAAAAGTTGAGGCTGAAGAGTTAGATGGGGTTAGATCATAAACAGTTGGGAGCTTGAGGTTATCCTGTTGGCTGCAGGGAGCCAGGCACAGATTTTAAGCACAGGCAGATTGTGTTTGATAAGAGAATTCTCTGATGCTTCGTGGGAAATGGGGAAGGAGGGGATGAATGAGACACAG